GACCCACTGGAAAAGAGAAATCGATTGAAGATACTTTTTATCTCCCTCATATAACGACGATAAATCCAAATTACTATTATGTGTATCATATTATGTTTATTTTGTTATTCACCTGATAGTGGAAGTCTTTGAGATCGAAGTCTTTGCCCAAAGCAGTTTTTGCATGATCTCTGTTTTTTAGAAGGGCTATCCTGCCAACCATGTACGCGGTCGACTGGCCTGGCCAGCTCTGATAACGTGTTACCTGTTACATAGAAGAAATAATATCATAAAAGTCTACTAGTGTTTTTTTTTCGCAAGAGCATATCACAGTGATTACTAGATCGCGGCCATTCTGAATCGTTTGTAGCATGCATTTTCCTCAGTAAGTATCCAAATGTCCGTCTAGTGCCCGAAGTAACTTCCTTGCACATCCACCTTATGAATTCTGCTATGTAATTTATGACAAGCCCTGATTTCACTTCGCCTTAACCACTAATTATGACAACGTAGGAAGTATGGACTCAGCGGGGTATCCATCTGCATCACGGGATGGCATCAACCCCTAAGTAGGTTGCAGAGGAAGTAAAAGGAAGAGAGGAAGTAGAAGTCAAGCTAGCAAATGAACGCTGTAAGAGCACTGTAAACTATTGCACCCAAACACCCTTGAGCCGGAGACACTCTCCTCACCTCTTTACGAGTGAAGTCAGAGTCATCCCAAGCCTTATCGACGAATAACTTGATAGCTTCGTCTCTTTTCATTCCTGTGTAGTGGAGTCCTGTGTCTACGATCATTCTTACTGCTCGCCAGATCTGAAAACGCAGAAACGTTAGCATCGATACTTCTACGAGGTGACTTTCTATCTACGGGATTTTATAGTGCTGGTTTTCCCAGAGGGTGGAAAACGGGAGAACCCAGGAAATAAAATTCCTGGAAGGCAAAGAGAACAAAGCAAACCTAACCCAGATATGACGTGAGGTCAGGGACTCGAGTCCAGGGTACAGCGGTGAGAGACAAGCGCTTTTATACATGCGCGATCTCAACTTCAACTATCATTTTATCTTTTGCTTGATTATCGTCATTACCAACCTGCCATTTCAGCATGCCATACTTTTTCAATGGTCTTCCATCGTAGACATCAGTATCGTCTGATATCAATGGATTCTCAGCATATAGACCCCATCCCTCCAAAAACGCCGTGTAGTATGTCTTGGAGCTTAACCAACCAATTGGACCTCCACAGGTGTCTTTAAAGTGCTCTCTATTCCCTTGGATCTACCACAGTAAAAATTGTATATGAATTATGAATTGTATACGAAGTGACTTCTGAAATTATAAGAAATGTCTAGAGGAAAGTCGAATTGTAGAAATTTCAAAAATAAACCAAACTGTTGTAAAAAAAATCTAGTCATAGTACATCCGCGAGGTAGCTCTTTGCAAACTGTTCTTAGGTCAAATTGCATTTTGAGGTGTTTGATTTTGGGAAAGGAGGATATGTGGATCATGGGAGAACGAATATTAACCTTAACTTGACTCAGGAATCGAACACAATAGTGATACATTGTGCTTTCAGGCTTTCAGAACTAAGTCGTCTCAAAGTAATCAAAAAATTGTCAAAGAGTTTAAAAAAAACGTATTAAAGTAACCTTCGAGTTCGAAAACTTGTGAGTTTGCCTTTTCCCTTTCTGTGCCTTTTCAACTCTCCAGTAATTTCGCAACGTAAGTTAATTTGGTTCCAAAAAAAGGTGTATATAAAAGTTTGTATTAAATAAAACAACAACCAACTTAAAATTGCAAAATTTTCACCTGGATATGGTGACCT